AAATGCTTTTTGAAAGATGACAATGGAGATTCTCAGTCATCCAGGTTGTCCCAAAAGTGCTTTTTCAAAAGGCAACTGGATTTTATTTTCCCCTGAAGTTAGAACTGAAGATGCTTCTTGGATGAGAAGTAAAATGTCTTCAAGGAAAAATAAAGCCCAGTTGCCTTTTGTAAAAAGCACCTTTGGGATTTTTTTGGAAGATGAATAATTCTGCAAATCTGTTTGGAAGAGCCAAAAGTACTGAAAAATATTTATGGGTAGAGGTAAAAATGTCAGTGTATATGGATGAAAGACCAAGAACTAAGTGAGTTTTCCTTTCCTTGAACAATACTAATATAATTGGATTGGAACAACAGTTAGTGTATAGAGAATTTGGGTAGAGGATATACTATATGTGACTAACTAGGCTGAAATTCATTAACAGTTTGGGAAACCACAAAGTCTGCAAATTTCTCAAAATTATTCGAGACTCATTCTAATGAAACAGACACGATTCTTGTCATCATGCATTCAGAAGAAGGCTTTCAAACAATCCATAGCTACCAAGTGTGTTATATGTAATAACTATAAATACCAAATTCATTTACTGCAACATAAGAGAGAAGACAGTATTTACTTGGCAATTTTTAAAATACAATTATATACGTTTGTGTGTGTGTATATATAAAGGTAAGGCTTTTTATTTACATAAACACTAGATATGATAAAGCTATTGTCTTTGTACACAATAAATTATTACAGTTTTGAAAGATTACATAAAAGCAGAGCATATCAGTTGTTTTCATATGGAGTTACCTGTTCATGTCTTCCCAAAAGTAAGTGGGACTGTTATTAAACTTAATCTCCCCTCCCAACCAATGACAAATAAGCAAACAAAAAGGACCATATCTCCGTATTTCTTTTTCATGCTAGAAAAAAATCACGTGAGTATTGTTAATGGTACTGAATAGTGTCATACGTGAGACTTGCAAGGTTGGTGGAATCATAAGAGGCGAATTTGTTTACTTTCAATAATGTTGAGTTCCCTCTCTGAGGGAAACTGAGTGAATCTCCCTGGTTTGGGGTTGCTTCATTTTACTTTGCCAATAGATTTAAACATCAGCCGCTCCAACGCTCCAAGCTACACTACAAATGTGGCTTTTTCCAAAAGAGAGAAAGAGAGGAGGAAACTGGGAAATACTGAGTTTTCTGACAATAATTTCAGATCTCTGAAATACGCCCTCAAAAGTCTGTTTCTTTGGGACAAAGCCATTTCAGATAGTTCCTGCTCATTTTCACTTGCCTTAAAGCAGAGTTGAAGATATGAAAAATGCCTTCATTGGAATGTAAGACATACACCACAGGAAAAGAATTAGATGGTTTTGACCTAAATAAATAAATAAATAAACCCTAGGTGAGTAACCTCAAGATGTGTATATACCAGCGATGGCTAACCTTCCCGTCCTTGTGTGCCCAAAGTGCATGCATGCATGCATGACCCCCAGGGGCGGGATTCAAATTTTTAACAACTGGTTCTGTGGGCATGGCTTAGGTGGTAGGCGTCACTTGGTGGGAGTGGCCAATTCAACATCACTCACATCGAGACACGCATCTCCTCGCCTGCCCTCTCATGACTGTGGGGATGCTGCAACAGTCGTATGTGTGAAAAATGGTCATAACTCACTTTTTTCAGTGCCATTGTAACTCTGAATGGTCACTCCACACAAGAAAAGTACCAGTAAAGGAGGGGAAAAAAACTCCAGAGAAATTCCTTAGACAGGAAGTCTAGTCCTGCCAAGATTGTAATAAGGGTTAACGGAGAGGCAGTTTCTGTAAGCAACACCAGAATATTTCCTTCCTGCCTTCCTTACAGGATTAGGCCAGTAATTTCTTCTAACAACCAGTTCTCCGAACTGCTTAGAATGTTAACTGGTTCTAGCGAATAGGTGCGAACTGGTAGAATCCCACTCCTGATGACCCCCCCATGCACACCACGCATCTCTGCACGTGTGCATGACCTCCCCATATGCAGTGCATTTCTGCACATGCACATGCATCTCCTGTGTGCCCCGCACATGCGCAGCAGCTACCCAACAATCAGCTGGCGGGCAGTGCGCGCGCCTGCACAGTGGACTTGCTCTGGAGCAATTGCTTGCGTGCCGAAGGAGATGGCTCTGCGTGCCACTTCCGGTACATGTGTCATAGGTTCGCCATCACAGGTATATACAATAGGGTATCAGATCCAGTCTGCAAAAATCTAGGTGGCCAGTACATGGAAGGGGTTTTTGTATCTCTCTGCTGACATCTTGTGGTTGCCTTGGTTTTTGCAGCCAAGATCTGGTAAGCTAAAATAAAAGTTAAAATCCAGGTAGTCCTCAGTTTATGAGGGCAATTGGGACCAAATATGCCATCAGTAAGTGACACAGTAATAAAGTGAGGTGTTGCTGGCTGTGTTGCCTAGTGACAGCAATTCCAGCAGTCCCAGTTCCCATAGTTAAATGAGGCTCACGTGAGTTGTTGGATGAGGACCTCGTATGACTGCTAGCTCTGAATTCTCCATTGACACATGATTGTGACTGACTGTGACATTGCAATTGAGAGCCAGGAGCTGCAGTCGCATGGTTGTGGGGATGCTGTGACAGATGGAACGGTGAGGACTGTCATGAATACCATTCATTGAACACAGGCTGAACTTTGAAAGGTTGCTGAACAAATGGTTGTAACTTGAGGACTCCCTGTAAAGAGTTGATTTTGTTGGGCATCCTTCTTTTCAAATAATTCTGTGAATTTAACTTTTTGAGTGTAGATCTTCAACTCCCAGAATTCCTGAGCTAACATGACTGGAGGAGGAATTCTGGGAGTTGAAGTCCACAAGTCTTAAAGCTGTCAAGTTTGAAGACCCCTAAACTCTCTAATTCTCAAAGTTGTTGGGAGAAATTAATTAGCTAAACTGGCAAAATGTATTGTTTAACTTAATCCTTGGCAAGGTTCCTTAGAAGTAAGACCCAATGCAATAAATGGGTCTTACTCCCAGGACTGCAGCCTAAGCTTTGCAACTTCAACTGTTCAGATTTGACGCTCTGAATTCTAGAAGAACAATTAGTTTTTTTTACCTACTGATATGGATAAAGGTGCCTAGATTATATTACTATATATGCATATGAACATAATGGGATGGTAGATAGGACTGCTAATCTCAGGGGCTGCCACAAAGAAGAGGGAGTCAAGCTATTCTCCAAAGCACCTGAGGGCAGGACAAGAAGCAATGGGTGGAAACTAATCAAGGAGAGAAGAAAGCTAGAACTAAGGGGGAATTTCCTGACAAAACAATTAATCAGTGGAACAACTTGTCTCCAGAAGCTGTGAGTTCTCCAACACTGGAAGTTTTCAAGAAGAGATTGGACAGCCATTTGTCTGAAGTGATGTAGGGTTTCCTGCCTAAGCAGGGGGTTGGACTAGAAGACCTCCAAGATCCCTTCCAACTATGTTATTCTATTCTATTCTAATATTTGGGGGGGGGGGGGTTAGGATGGCCTATGTAATGTGATTTCAGAAATCTGCCCCAGAAAGTTTTCTTTTTGAAGATCTTTCTCGATTAAGCTATTTTTGCCTTTATTTGTTTGACTGTTTTAAACAATTGGCATTGTTTCTGCTTTTTATGAAGCTAATTATACAAACAAGGACAATAAGCAGGCAATTCTTTAAATTGAGCTTATTCATATATTTTCATCAGGTTTCGCTCCAGGAAACCCAACACCTGTGCTTCCAACCTTATAATCATTTTCCTTCCTTTGTTCTCTAAACCAGACTACAATGACCGGGAGTTTGGCCCACCCATACTTCTTTTTATTTATTAAACTTACATGCTGCCTATCTTGACCAAAGCAACTCTACTCACAGTGAACAATACTGTTGAAAACCTGAAAAAAATGTTGCTCCTCTAAGAATCACATTTACTTAAATCAGGGGTGTCCAACCTTGGCAACTTGTGGCTGAGGAATTCACAAGTCTTACTTGTGGACTTCAACTCCCAGAATTCAAGTCTTACTTGTGGACTTCAACTCCCAGAATTCCTCAGCCAGCTTTGCTGGCTGAGGAATTCTGGGAGTTGAAGTCCACAAGTCTTAAAGTTGCCAAGGTTGGACACCCCTGACTTAAATGAACTGACTTCTTAAAGCAACAGTCAAGCCTGAAAAATAATCAGATTGTTTTAAAGAACAGGAAGGAGGTGCTGTGTTTGTACAAGGCCTAACGCAGGGCTATCAAACTCCCGGCCTGCGGGCTGGATGCACCTCATGCTGGCCATGCCCACGCCCAGTTCAGCGAAGTGGGGGAAAGTCCCAATACGTGATGTTGATGTGAGACATGAGTTTGACATCCCTGGCTTAAAGCATTTCTTCCAAATCATTTTTTTAAGCTCATGTAGTGCTAGTAGAATGCTGTGGAATAATTATTTAAAAATATCTACAGGAAAATGTTAATTCTTAAAAGTGGTACATACTGAATAATGACACACATGCACTGGAATTGATTTCAGGCCCTTCAGCCTAGGTAAAGAGACGGTTAACTTCTGTTTGCTGGATGAGTAGATCTCTCAGTGACCATTTTCTCAAATTTACCTATGTTCCAGAGATCTGTCAGCAAAAAGGACTAATAGTCAACTTTTTAAGGCCTTATGTACAGCACACAGGATAAACGGCTGATGCACCTGAGGATAAAGTTGCAGTGGTATTTATCTTAAGCTATTCAGAAATGTAGTGAGGCTGCTTGCTTTAGATAGCAGCACCAGGTGAATCTAAGGGCTTCATTCATATTTTGTTTGCTCTGAAATCATGCAGGATTCAAGGTATTCCAGAGAGGTCTGTAGAGATTCTCAGTCATCCAGGTCTTGGTTGTTCCAAAGGTGCTTTTTCAGGAAGCAACTGGACTTTCTTGTTTTTTTTCTTTTGAAGACATTTCGCTTCTCATCCAAGAAGCTTCTTGGATGAGAAGCAAAATATCTTTGAAGAAAAAAACCAGAAAGTCCAGTTGCCTCCTGAAAGACCACCTTGGGGACCTCCCAGAGAGGGTATTAACCATTCAAGCAAGGGTTCTTTGCATTTCTCAGGATTTCATTTTAAACAAATCCAGAAATTAAAATACCATGGGAAAGAAAAGTTAGGAGGATATCCTTTTTGTGGACCTGTGAACACAATTGTTTACTGGCATGCTAACTAGACATGGCAACTTATTTTTCTGATAGGATTTTTTGTGATGTTAACAATGCAGGACAGGTAGAATTATTAGCAAACAGAAGCTCCTTTACTAAAAGTGCTACTTTCTCTTTAACAGAATTATCCTTGCAGCACAGAAAGCTCTGCCAGGAGAAGTAGACAACCCAAACAATAGCCCAATATTTTGAAATACAATCTGGATGTATTTGTACAACCAATCCTCACAGGACATTGTTCCCTGAAGAGGCCATGCCATGTCCTTGAGGCTGATTTTAAGAAAAAATAAACAACCATAACTCAGTGAAATTTCCCTCTACTTGTTGCAATACTTCCCACAACCATAGAAAACATTTAAACATTTTTATGCCATTTTTTCCAAGCGATGAATAGAAACAGAGATGCTTAAGTTATTACAGGTTAAGTCTTCATTTATTTCAGTGATATATTTTCTTAAGGGAGGTTACTTTTTCACTGTGTATTTGATTTGAAAGGAGATCTTGTTACACTGCAGCAAAAACTCTGGGGTCACCTAATATGGACCTGTAGTTCTTTCCTAATCTTTCCAATCTTTCTTAAGGTCCAGTTAGTCCAATATATAGTCTTATACCAGCTCTCATAAGTTCTATTGAGTTTCACAAGCAGAAAATGTTAAGGCACCAACTTGTCTCTGCACATGTGCACTGGAGTATTTTAAGTCATGAGCCACAGTGGGGACAAAACGTTAAATTGATGTGACTGAATTTAAAGCTAGACACTTTCTTTGTCTCTTCATCAGAACAATAAGATATTTTTCCCCGTTTCATACCAGACCAGATCTATCTTAATAAAAAGCCGCATTTCAATTGTAATTTTGATACAGGCCTGCCATTCAAATGACTTGGGTGATAGTATTACAGCAGAATAAATTATTGTGGATGTCTGTGTGAGGTTTGCGTAAACAGCTAAGAATTCTGTAAAGTATTTTGTATAGTGTTGATCCATTCCAAGACAAGCTGTTGATGATTGTTCTGGGGCCTTATTTCTTTCTTCTCCTCCCCCCACCTCCTATTTGTTTCTCTGCAGTTCTTTGCCTCTCTGTAAACATTCCAGTCAAATAAACAGTGAGTATTATAAAGGCTTCATACATGCAGCTAAGTCTGGGCATGACAAAATGGGAAGTCTGAATTCAGCAAAAGTAGATCAGCAACGGGCCTTATCACATCTTTTTTTTTTTTTTGGTTTTCTCTGCAAAACCACAAATACCTTTTGCCCTGTCTTTTGAAAAATGGCAATAGAAACAAAATGTTTTCAGCATCACACCTTGGGCAGCAGAGCCAAATGTTTCATAAACCATGTAAACCAAAAGAACGGCTGGCTTCCGGCAAGGACTGCTCTCCCACCCACCTCCACAAGGTGGGTGCTCAAGGTCTGGAAGCAGCAGAGAGAACGAACTTGTTGGCTAAGGCCACAGTAAAAAGTTTTCCGGTGTTTACGCTGCTGCTGCTGCCAGCCTTACTCAAGGGTGTATTCACAGTGGACACATTGATCCACATCTCTTTCCTCCAGCCACCAATCATGAGGAAGAAGTCCGTGTTATTCCACTCTGGCTCTCTGCTTTGTAGTGTCGTAGGATCGAACAACTTGAGACTGAGAAACGACCCCGTGCTCCTCTTGAGAAAAAGCAAAACCATCTGGAGGGAGAAGAGGAAAGAGCCAAAAAAGAGATTTTGCATCAGAGAGAGGTTACGGTTTGTTTTGATGAGAAGAAGAGTGTGCAACGGATGCAGTAGGAGAGAAAATCAGAAGCAGTTAAACCCAGTTCAGCCCACACAATTGCAGTCTTTTTTTCTGATGTTCTTTCAGGCTAGTGTGCATAACGCAGAACGGAAGGGACCATTATCCCAGCCATAGATCTCCCTCCTGCCCAGGGGTGGGCTTCAAAAATTTCAGCAACCGGTTCTCTGCTCAGTTGCTGGGGGGGGGGGGGGGGGGGAGGGCTATAGTGGACGTGGCCTAGTTGGCCTCCTGCACCATGGCGGGGGCGGGGCATGTTTTCACCCTCCCTGGGCTCTGGAAGCTTTCTTTGAGCATCTGAGAGGGCGGAAACGGCCTCCCTCAGGTTCTGGAGGCCCTCCAGAGGCCAGAAGCGGGCCCATTTCTAGCCTTCCAGAACTTCTGAGGGGCCCACTTTTTGCCCTCCCTGGGCTCCGGAGGCTTTCCTTGAGCCTCCAAGAGGGCGAAAACAGCCTCCTCCAGGCTCTGGAGGATCTCCAGAGGCTGGAAATGGGCCTTCTGGAACTTCTGGGAGACCTGTTTTTTGCCCTCCCTGAGCCTCCATGCAGGCCCTGTACTTACCTGGCATCCAAATTGGGCCACGTGGGGACTCCTGGGTGGGGCCAGCCAGGGGTGGGATTTACCGGTTCGCTGAACCGGTAATTAAAAATGATAAAATTAGCTACTGGTTCACCTGAACCAGGGTGAACCACTTGCAGGCCACCCCTGTTCCTGCCCCTTCATTCATTAGAACAAAAATCAGGAATACTGGCAGATTAAACTCGTCTTCTCCCCAACTCAATATCTTACGTTCTTACCCCATCCCTGTTGGTAACCCAAGGGAGAAATATTGGGAGAACTGAACCACATCCAGAGTAAGAAACCGTGGTACCTCAAACATAACTGCTGCTCAGGGAGCATTAATAATGAACATGATCCCACATCCATTATTTTCAGGGTGAACATGAATCACATACCAATGCATACAGTAGTTTTTAAGTATGGTGTGAGAAAGGTTTAGAGCAGTGTTTCTCAACCTTGGCAACTTTTAAGAGGTGTGGAGTTCTGGCTGGCTGGGGAATTCTGGGAGTTGAAATCCACACGTCGTAAAAGTTGCCAAGATTAAGAAACACTACTTTAGAGAGAGCTGGGCCTGCTACCATCTTTTCATTAAAAAAATTAACTCTTTAGGTACTTCCATATGAAGATTCTGCACCATCATTCGAGAGTGGATATAATTTTTCCCCCTGCTTCTTCTGCAGTTTATCTTAATCTGAACTACTTCAGATGTGTGTGTAATACACACACACACGTATATATTTAATTACTCAGGCTCAGTGAAGTTTGTCCCCTAAACATCTTAACCTGGAAACCTTTAGCTTTCCCTCACAGGAACTAATAGAATTTTTTCTCCATATGACTATAAAATTCCACACAACACAGAGAGATGTGATACATGCATTTGTGTAAACAATTGATTTATATGCCTTTTGCATTAAGTAGGAATGTAAGGATCTTTTGCTAATCCAAGATAAGACCCCAACAGGCACAGCATAATTTTTGTTCCTTGTTCTTAGCGTATGGACATTGGCAGGTATGAACACAAGAATGGACATTGGGGCGACCAGGGAGTAAAAATGATATTGATGTGCAAATGCTCATTTTCACACTTATCTTGCTGGGTAAATTTTTATTTTGTTTCATTTTATCGTAATTTCTTTTCCTTTTTAACTTTGTTTCCCTCTTACTGCGTAGCCAGTTTTTAGGCCTTTTCCCACTTGCAATAATACAGAGCAAAAGCACGTCCTGATAATATTTTTGTTTTATCGTTACATAAAGTCGCCTATAGAAACTAGATAGCTTATTTCCAATATAATACAAATTTCTTTTGATTGAAGCTATTGTTAAAAGGAATCTACTGTTTATTCCCCTCCCCCCTTTTCTTCATGCTTTGTACTATAACATTATTTGACAAGGGGTAACTGAAGTTACTGAGGACTGTGGATCAGTATCAAACATTTTTTTTAAAAACTACAATAAAAATGAGAAAAACAGACGTATGATTGCAATTATTCTGAACCTGGACTGGCTCCTTTAACAATTCTTCCTGATTAGTACTTATGAGGGATGAGCTAACAGAATTGAATGGATGCCCTCTTCTTTCTTTGGCTCAGCAAACTGGTAAATGTTATGGGACAACTTTGGCAACCTTGTAGAGAATATCTATCAGCACAAGGCCTTTCTCTGCTGCTCTTCCATGTGCTGGGAATAGTCTCTCTCTCCCCACCCCTAAAACTTAAGATTCTTGTTCTGGCAGTCTCTGAAGCTTCACCCGAGCCTGAACTCTCATGATAAAGAGGAAATGTTCATAGCCAAGTGAATCTACTCTGGAACCAGTGCAGAACTAAAAGATGAGAGTACAAACCACCAGCAATTTAATTACATGTGTATAAACAGCATCTGTAAATGACTTCTGAATTGGAATTCCATATGTGGGTTGGGCAGAAATACAAAAATACAAAAAGCTAACATGTGTAGAGACCTCCCTCCCCACTAATCTTGATTCTAGTTCCTCCTCTTTAGCTAAAGGTAGCAGCGTAATTTTTAAAGGCCAGGGCAAATTGAGTATAGCAACAAGTTGTATTCCCTAGTTTTTCAATACTGCCCTCCAGTAATTGCCATCTGAAGCAGCTCCCTTGTTTTTCCAAATGCCAGGATCAGGTCCAACTCCAGCAGATATAATCCAGGAATGATTTACTGAAAGATTCTGTAGCAGGGTGAATATTTTATATCACATACCATCTTTGGGGGGAGGTTGAGGGCCACTCCACAGCAGATTTAAGATTCAATACAAATCCAGTGGGAGAATCTGAAGATTTCTATTTAATTTTTTCTATTTTATCAACCAAAGCAAAAAGTAGGAAATAAATTATACTGTATAAAGATGTTCATGATTCTGCTTGCCTGAAGCACGCTAAATCTCCGAGAAGTTAAGAGAGTAGAATTATATTTGGTGTGCGTGGAAACATTGTTAATTGGGTAAATCAACTGGGCCTTCAGAGAGGGAAAAATTCCCTCTCCAAACCTCCCATCTTTTCCCAGTTCAAATCAATTGACTGATTCTTTGTGCCCCTAAATTCAATCAGAGTCATGGTTGTTTACAAAAATACCACCCAACAATTATAACATCGTACCCTGTCTGAATGTTAAACTTTAAAAAAAAGCACAAGTAAAATTATTTAAAAAAAAGCACTGGACCTGTGCTAATGAGACATGGTAGTGCATTGGTTAGAATGCAGTATTGCAGGCTAATTCAGCTCACAGCCAGGAGTTTGATCCTGACCGCCTCAAGGTTGACTCAGCCCTCCATCCTTCCAAGGTTGGTAAAATGAGGACCCAGATTGTTGGGGGCAACATGCTGACTCTGTAAACCACTTAGAGAGGGCTGTAAAAGCACTGTGAAGCAGTATATAAGTCTAAATGCTATAGCTATAGCTATTTAAATGCTGATTTAGTATTTGTTCAATAGAAGACCACATTAGTTGGTGTATGTAAGAGCCAATGCCAGTGTTGTTAAACCTTTTCAGCATCGAGTGCTGAAATGGGAGCGCGCATGTATGCTGGGAGGTTTGTCAGGTGGTCTTCGCACATGCATGCGTACCAGAAACCGGAAGATCAGGTGGCTGGTGCACAGGCACGTGCCGGAAACTGAAAGAGCAGCCGCCTGGCACGCGCATGCGTACCAGGCGGCTGCTCTTCCGGTTTCTGGTGCTCCCGTGTGTGAAGACCAGCTGGCTGGTGCACTGGAACCCAGAAGAACAATAGGCAATGGCTTGCATGCCCGGAAAGATGGCTCTGCGTATCACTTCTGGCACGTGCGACATAGGTTTGCCATTATGGGCCTATGCCATGCTTGGCTGGTGCTTTCTGAAGTGGGCAGATGTTTCTTCCAAAGCTAGGTATGTACTCTTTTCTGTTGAATGGATGTATCCAGTGACTGGAAGAATGCCTGGTCACAACCAGCAATATCCGATAGGAGATGGCAGATTGTACCATTATTTATCATGAAACAGCAAAACCAAGACTGGTATCATGAAAAGGAAAACCAGCATCAAAACCAAGACTGCAAAAATAACTTTAAGCTGCTTCTGGGATGATTTGGGGATTAGATAAAGGCACAATCTTGAAGACCCATTGTTTTAAAACGGTCAAAGCAATACGGCAGTTAGTGGAAGACTTGCACTCTTTCAATCCATCACTAGCCAGTCATGTTTTCTCAATATATGTAACCTTTACAAGAATAACATAGGAGAAGTTTATTGTTTTGTGATTCTTGAAGGAGAACAAGGCAATAAATGATGGAAGAATGGAAATTAAATTCATGAGAATTCATACAATTAGCTCTGCAACACTATTTAAAAAAAAACTTTCTGAAGTCCATGCATTTAACACTAACTCTTCCCTAAGGGCAAATAGGAACTTAAATCTCAAGGAGAAATAACTGTGCTATTGTTTTCTGAGTTTTTCAAATAGCTATGGATCCCCAGCCAATCTAAGTAACATAATGGGGGCAGTTATATCTGGAAAAAAATCAAGATGTATATTAATGCTAAAGAAATTATGTAAAGTTTGTTTCACTGAAGCAGTCAGTAGCTGAACCATAATGCAATGAGATTGCCAATTTGAAAAATAATTACAATCCATATCTGAAAATTGTAAAAAAAATATTGTGTAATTCTGCCATACAAAGGCTTCATTTAAAAACCTTCATTAGCAATAGCTTACAAATACAATCATAGTTTAAAGAAATAGTTTCACTGGGATATGTTTCTCCTAATAAAGAGGTTTTGGAGAAAATGGGACATGGAAAACAAAAAGATTTTGCAAACACTGAAGTGTACTTAAAATTTTGGAAAACACAGACGCTAATTCCAATTCCAATTGTATGTTATTTTTTTCATCAAGTTCCCCTTGGAATCTAATCTTTGTTTTGCAAAGTTGCATAAAACATTGATTTGTACATAAAGTGCTATTTATTGCTTGTGTGTACTTTTCATTTATTTCTACAGAGGTTTTACATGCAAGCTCAAGGCAGAGTTTTACCCCTGTGGTATGTTCAGAACTGAGACCCTCTACCCATGATATAATACTTACGTGGCACTCCTTGCTGGACAGAATGAGCACGGAAGAGGCATGGCGGGGTCTTTCTGCCCAGCCTTTTTAACAAATGGTCACGTTCATTCACGCTGCAAGACAAAAGGTCAAGTCAAGTCAAGTCAAACTCCAGAGGTAGATTATGAAGTACTCCCTTTAAAAAATGGAATACATTGTGACAGAGCAGAATTTGTTCTCTCCATTCTTCTAATACATTTTTAGAATAAACAAAAACTTAATGAACTTTAATGTCCTCTCAATATATGGGCATACAGATTTAGTATTTCAAATTAACAGTAAGTTTCCAGAAGATTGCATTGCACACTTTTGGCCATCTGCTATGGTGTTAAGGCTACCGCAAAAGGAAAGGGCAACACAAAGTAATATAAAACATGGTAATATGTCTGTTATGTTTGTCTTGTTCAGAACTACCCATCTTGGATATAATGATGACGATGATTACAAGAAATGCCTTTTTTGTTTTTCATTTCATGCATTAGCACATTCAGTCAGCTGAAACACAAATGCTAACTCATTGGATAAGAATAGCATAGTATGCTTATGGGTCTGGCGTTTATACTCTACTTGTACATGCAAGTTGAAGCCACACTGACCAAAGAAAAGCTTCATTTTTATGCTTCTTAGCAAAAGCAGCAATTCTGAACTGAAAAGAAAATTTGCCAAGGATTCTGCTAAACTCAGAAACATTTTGGAAAATGAAACAAGGAAGATATACTCCAGAGGTCTGTGTGAAAATACGTCCATAGGGGAAAACATAGTCCCCAAAAGATTCGGGTTCCCATGAGAAAAAGGTTTCCTTTAATACATATTATGTCCCATGTGGGGAAAAATTTCTTCAGTATCTCATTGGATTAACACCTGTGATCACCCAGTGAAGTTTGACAGTGGTAGTGTCAACGTAGACAGAAGAAAAACTGATTGACCCTCAATGTAATTGTTTTATGGAAGTTAAGGTACCATTCTGGATGCTTTTAAAAGGACATTGACACATTCATTGAGTGACATAAGTAGTTTTTCTTGTCTGTTTCTATCCATTTCATAAGTTCTATGGGAAACAGGATGTTGGGTTAATTGAACTTTGGTCAAATGCAGGATAACTCTGTTCTTCTTTTCCTCTCTGGTTCAAATATATAACTTTCTCTCTCTATTAGACTAACAATAAACATAATAGAGAAGTACTCTAAACAATTCATATCAGGAAAATGGCCCTGTCTAAATCCATAGCATTTTTTTCCAGTAGAAAAATTAACAAATTCAATAATAAGCCCATAATATATTATGTAAACTGTATGCAGTTTTCTCACAAATAAAACATAAGCCCAGAAACCTGCATAAAGCATGCAAGAATAAATATGTTTTGCAGGAACCAAGTATAAAACAGCATTTAAAGTCCCCTTCTTGCCACTAAATCAGTCACCAAATTATGCAACTGTATATTCCTCTGCAGCCATACAAGTGTCTTCCCCTTGGGCACCATGGAAAATGATGAATAATGGACAGCTTGTGGACAATGATTCATAAAGCCTTACTGAATGGATATACACTATCCAGTCAAGTCTCAATAAAATGACACAAAAGAGTCCCTTGATCTATCAAAAGTCCTCAAGATAACTTTTAGTACGTTGCTATTTTTTTTCAGATGACAAACCTCAACCCCAAACTAGTGTTTACATAAACAAAAGAGCAGAATTACAGAGATTAAAAACACTACCACCACCAGAAGGGTCAAAGGCATTTAAAACAATCTGGAAAACGTCTTACTTGTCTACAAAATATTTTTGAAAATTGTAATGTTCTCTGTAGATACTGAGCAGCATTTAGCCCTTATCAGATTTTTTTTTCATTGTAAAAAAAAATCTTGGGAGAATGCCATAACGTACCACTTCTGTATTGCTGGACACGTTCTGATATCCACTAGGAAATCAATCTGGCTCAAGGAAATTGTTCTTTGTTTCCACAGCTTATGAAATATAATGGAGAAACATTGGGAAATTCCACTTTTAATATTGACTTTCTATGCCCAGGTGATGAATCTTTCTACTCTCATCAAGGAAAGAGAGTGGTGTGGGAATAATAATTCCAGAGCATCACCCAAGTTCCCAATTGACAGCTGGTAAAAAGATATTTTTTTTGTCTTATAGACTCATTCCCTTCCTTCCCCCAAAGCCAAGGATCTCTAAGCCAGGGCAAGCAACATCTGTCTTGACACATTCAGAGGAAGAGCATCAAAACAAACAGAATAATTCAATCCTGACCACAGGGTCCCACTGTCTATTTGTTGGAGTAATTAAAAAAAGATGAGAGTCACCACCAATTAACCTACCAAGTGCTAATTAGTGTTAATGAGGATTCAAAGGCACTTGCTGTATCTTGACCCAGAATATCCTCGAGGGTTCACTAATTGGTGGATGATAAAAACGGGGCATAAAATCTTAAGGTGGATAGATGCAGAAGGATGGATGGATAGACAGGTGAAGTCACACATAATATTATAGAAACTGCAGACATCCATTCAGGTCTTAAAAACATCCCTGTGGATTCTTCTTCATCAGTTTTCCACAACAAAAATAAGAACCACCACTTTGCAGAGCAATGCTAGCTGGGCATTTGTAGATAACTTTTAAAAACTGGGGTCACTTTTAAAGTACAGAAGACTTCTCTTAGGCAAACCTTATCCAAATGAGCAGGATCACTGCTGATTTCTTATGTGGCTAATTGCTTCTTTCTTATTCTTTTTAGCAGGAGTTGCTTTCAAGTAAATGTGTTTTGAATTTCAGAAGCTGGAGGAAAGAAATGGGCCAGCAGCAGCCTGGGGACCTTAACTCAGAAAAAGATAGAGATATTCAATATTAAGCCAAAAAGAAAAGGAAAACGTTGGGATAGACAGGAAAAGTTTCCTTTGTAAAACATTTGTTTTTAAAGACTGCTATACCATGAAATAATTGACATTCTCTACTAAATACACAGCTGGTTCATTGAAATGAGTATATGCTCATTTCAAAATGCATGGCATATTTAAGGTATGAGCCTTGCATTGACTCTCTGTTCTTTTAACAAGTGTATTATATCTTTATTACTTCTATCTATTCATCAATGGAGAATATCTGTGCGATCATTAGGAGTAAAAAATGATGGCACAAAACCAATTGGTCGTCTGTACACATATGCTCATTACGGACACAAATATTTATGTACATAGATACATGTGTATGCACGTAATAACTTCCTTTTGAATATCAAGTAATTGATAAATCCTATCTGTCTGTCTACCAAAAAGGGTGTTTCTATTTTCAACTGTGAGTTATATACACATACAGGATTACAACCTTAGCTGGCACAGGGAGACAGGATTTTATTTTTATTCATACTTAACAGCTTATTGTGGCAGGAAGTAAAATCCAATAAAAATTTAGGAAAGAAATATAAAGATGGTACTTCATATTCTCACAATTGTATGTGAAAAAAAATACTTTTAAAAATAGTTGCCTCTAGGGAAAATTCATGGGTTTTTTGGTTTGTTTAATTACCTCACAAACTGTTAGTACCTGCTGTTTAAGGAGTGTTTTCATTTAAATACAAGAAATTACTTGGCAACTTTTCTATTGTGAAGTTGCCAGATCTTTAAAGTAAACAAAAGAAAATCTAACTCTGGATTAGATCTAGGACCCTGGATTAATGGTAATGAGATGGAGCTATTTCTAAGTCCCTTAGACTGAGAAATACTGCTCTAAACCAACTTGCTTCTGAGCACATAGCTCAGTTGTGACAAAAGTGTTCTTATGTGGATGTAAATTTTAATTTAATGGTTAGAGTCCAGGTTTCCTGTCATCCTTGAACTAAGACTATTGTACTGAGGATGTTTGTATCACTAAGAAGCCACAAAGTATGTTAGCACTTATGTGGGAGGTAGATAGGTACTGACAGATAAGTATTGATATTCCCATATCCTGTCAAAATAAAGAGATCAGTAGTATAGCTTCCAAGGCTGGTCATACATGTCTTTGTATCAAATTAGATGTAATGAAAAATGGGGAGGGGGGAAAACCAGACACAACTTTGTTTCTTGTCAGTCAGATTCAGTCTAGAGACTAAAAGGATATCAGGCTTTGAATCATGAATGAGGGAAGATCCGGTTTGTTATGCCTGATTAAAATCAAAGTGGCAGCTAGAGTAGCTGCACCTTTTGGTTGTAAGTTAAATGTTGTTTTAGACAGAGAAAGTAACTGAAACATTGGGCAACTGTGATGCCTTTTCCCCCATTCGTTTTTTACAAGTTGCCGTTTGAAACATTCCACTTTTCCTTCACCGTGGAGTTTAAGTACGTGGAATACTCTCATGTTCTTCTATGCAACATTTATCAAATTCAGATCTACATTAAACATCTGCAACGGATCACAGGTAATTATTTTAGCCTGAAGAACCCAAAGTGGTCCAGAAAAGGGTACACAGTTTGCATAGGTACATATATACATAGCCTCTCCATTCAAGCATAATTCAAATTATTGAGATAGAAAATCACTTGTGAAGGGGAGGGAACAGGTCAAGCTTCTCCACTTCCAGTAGTCATTAGCTCCTTTTGCCAAATGTTAATGAAAAATGAGACATAGCCATTTCTCCTTTGTTTTCATACCCTCTCCCCCATTACTGCCTCTGAGGCAGTAGCTGATGTTATAATACAGCCCTTCATATGATTGTTCAAACCCTGAGATTGTTGGCAGCTACTTTGAAAAGTCCTGTGCTTAATGAACTTAATGGGCAACTGTATCACATGAACACAGCCTATCATCGCTCATAAAATGGGCTCCTTACTTAACCAAGATCTGTAGAAGCTGAGGGACCTTTTTTTTTTTTTTTTGCAAATGTTCCCAGAAGGCTCTCATAGGGCAGTTTAGCAGCTGCAGAAGTGGCCATCTGGTCAACACAAAAGTTGGAAAGAAAACCAAGATTAGATGACAAAAGAGGACTCTGCATTTAGTATATGATTTAGTATATGAACTTTGCTTTGAAGTCAGCAACGTACAGGAAGCATCTGAGATATTTTCAGGGCCAATATGTTATCCTAGTAATGTAT